CCATATGTAAAGGATTTTGGACAAGTACCACAAACCCGAATTGGCAGTATTAGCTCCCCTACATATGTTCTAGAATGTTTGGTTTGAAGCCTTCACATATGTATGGATAAGATTTGTGGGAGAGTAATTACTACCAAATGATGCTATGGTTTAAAGAATGAACCCTTGAAGTGTGATACCAATCGGAGTTGCACTTTTAAGTCTATCCTTAGCACTATGGTTAGCTAGATATATAAAAAACACTAGATATCTCATGAGATTAACATTATAAGCAGGGTTCTAGTACCTTGGATGCCTTTGGCAATTGCCTCGATTAAACCAATAGCTTGGGCAAGCTTGAAAAAACAGTAAGGAGTAGCATCAGTTTCAATCAGCACACAATCGAACACAAACACAAAGAAAATTTGAATAGAGAACAGACAATTGTTGTGTAGTGTGAAATTTGAGTACATAATTATATAACCACTAGAGAGGCTAAATGGATGGGTGCACCAGGTATTCGGCAAAAGTCAATGTGCAAATATATCACATGCTACATCCTTATTCTTGAAGAGGTGCACAAAGTCAATCATCTTGCATGCAAAGTTCCAAAATATGTTTATTAAGCACGGATCTTCCCTGAATATTATACAGATTGCACGTACTATTTTCAAAAATCTTAGTGCAGACGACAGGGAAATGATGATACTTCTTGACGAAAACAATGTGAATCGTGTGAATTATTGTCCCCGGAGACAAAAATTGCAAAGAAGTCAGAACTAACCTCCTACTATTCTTATCTCAGTAGTCAGTAACCAAGATATCATAGAGTTACAGAAAAAAAGTAAAACAATTCAGCACATACCGCATTTGCATCATGACTATCAATACCAGGAATAGATCGAGGTGACCACTCGTAAAAATGCATCCATGCACTGAACAGCTTGCTCCCACTACAAGGGCAAGTGAGAGAATCATTTTAGACCCACAAATAGTATGCCCATATATCTGGGAATATATGAAATTACCTCATTCTTCATGGTTGTGATCATATCTTGCTGCTTGCATACTAAACAAAAATAGGCATGTGATCAACGTCAGCTTGTGCTTTAGAGCTTGAACAGGAGTAAGGAGCTTGGTAAATGAAGCTAGAGATTTACCTCCACGAGCATGAGCTATCTTTACAATCTTCTCCAATCCCATCTCTGGATCACGAACAGTCACAAATGTAGGGAATGCCAAGCTCCATTCCATACCTTGATTAAGAACAGTACAATATGCATAGGGATGACTCAAGCTAGAATAAATATACTTCACACTTAGCATTATAGCATGTGCATTCTTGAAATATGATTGATTGAATGTGTCATTTTGCTCTCCTGTGGAAAGGACAACAACAACATAGAGATGTTTGAACTTTGAAGTGCCTCTTGAGCGTATGCACCCTGCAAAAGCATCCCAACACTGGCATCACCATCAGAATAAATACAGCTATAACAAACATGAGAGGGAAGAGTCTCACCTGCTGAAGGCAACAACTTTCCCTTTCTGAATCCCAACTCGTCTCAAAGACAAAAGCAACAGACAAGCCCCCATTATTGAAGATGAAGTCCTGGAGTCCACTTGATCAGGTTATACGCACATAGATGCACATAATAACATAATGGCAAGAGCAAGTCAGTGGCGTCTATAGATTTGGTGTGGTTACCGGAGGCACTGAGAGGGAGTTGAGGAGATACGAGTTTGTGGAGATTGAGGAATGCGGTGACGAAGTTGATGAGGTTGGGGTGCTGCTTGTCTCTCGATGAAGTGCTCATCATGCATGCTCCACTGCCTGCGTTCACAACAGTGCTCAATTCAGTCATAGAAATTCATCTCCATGTCCTATCTGTTGGGCCCGGGATCTCTGGCACGGGTGAGCCGACCGATCACTGGCGTTCTCGCACAGACACTATGGCTAGAGGTAGAAGAGGGAGGGAGAACAGAGTGCGCGCACACACACAGCACAAGCACCAGCGTTGGCCAAAGCTCTGCAGAGGAGATGGTAAAACCAAACTCGCTCACTTTACTAAGTTGCAGTGCGAAGCTATATATACAACTCTACCCATCTAATCCAAGTACACAGACATGCCAGGCTGCTACAGTGACTAGATGTGACAGTAGGGCTGACTTTGACTCCTACCCCTGCTGTGGCTACAGTGCGGCAGGGGAGCCTTTCGGCCTTTACCCCTGCCTGGCGGCTTCTGATCTGCGGCAGTAGAGAGCCCTTTCGGCGCACTGCCCCTACAGCGTATAGAGATGGGAGAGAAAGCAGATTACTTTACACCTGCATGCGTGGACAGGAGGAGGTGTAATGACAACTCAAGCAAATATGTTACATTTGCTAGTTTAGAGTCCTAGAAATGTCAATTCCGTCATAGTTTGAGCATCTAAGGGACCTCTTAAATTGAAGCCCCTATATTCTCATGTGGGGGCATCCTAAACATAAATCCTCCATATATCCATATAAGCGACACATGATCAAGGTTTACAAGTACAATAGGTTTCTGAGAGGAGCGGTGAGAAGGTCAAAAAATTGGGTAATGCTTGATGATAGTTTGTTATGAGTTCAAATTACGAGTATATACAGTTCAGTCGAGTAGCATGAACAATAACAAATGCATGTGGCTGTCTAGCTCAATTCAAGACTTGTATGAATCCAAAATAAATGGTTCTACCACTTATCGTGAGCACCGGGACACAAGAAGGAAGAGATTTTATCACGTGGACCTCCAACAAAATTGGATGTAGAGAACATGTTATTATTAACACAAGCACGGAACCAAAGAGACAACATGTCGTCCCAAATTCACTAGCAGTAGACCGAATGGTTTCAGAAGGCTCGTCGGATCGGTATAGTGTTCCCGTGGGATCGGTATAGTGCCGAGGCTCGTGGAGCCAGTGGAGAAGAAGAGCGAGGCGAGCCGTCGAGTTGAACCCGTGGGCAAATCTTTTACTATCTGAATCACCGCCCATCCACTGGGTCACTCATTGGGCCACGTGTCCGATTAGTTTCGATCCGTCCGATTTTGATCCGATGTTCACCGTTAGTCCGTTACCGTGTACCTAGCGTTTCCAGAGTATTCGATCCCCTCCAGGTTGTGTGTTCTCCTCGGCTACTCGGCACCGACACTCGCACCGGCCTCGTCCCAGTGTGAAGCCGCCACGACCCCCTTCCATGCCGGGATCCTTGCCCTCTCTATGGCCAGCTTACTGGATGGGGCGATGGCGATGGCTCGCACTCGCCTCATCATCATCGTCACCGACGCTATGACCTGCTCCCACGTGCTTAAGATCGTGTCCTACTCCCGCACCAAAGAGGTCTCCAATGGCCAGCGCATCGACTCCAGGCACTTCCGCCTGGGAGGGCACACCTGGTTCGTGGAGTATAATGACCCCAATGGAAGCGCCGCCGACAGCGTCGATTTCATATCGTTGTTTATCGCCATCCATTGTGCGAGAATGGCAAAGCTATGAAGGCGCGAGTCACCATCGGCTTACTCGACCGGGGACGAAGCCGGTGCCATCCTACACCAAAGTCACCGGATTCATGGACTTCATTGACAAAGGGAGTGGGGATACCCAAAGTTCATCGAGAGGAAAGCTCGGAAATCGAGCATCTCGGGGATGACTCCTTCATCGTCGAGTTCGATGTGACCATCATGAGGGACATCCAAACCGTGGAACACACCGTCGATGGACGTCGCGTCCGTCATGCATGCACCCAAGCACTATGGTAATCTCCTGCGAGCACGGAGGACGCCGATGTCAAATTCCGAGTTGGCAAGAAGACATTCTCGCTCACCGGCTTCTTCTCTCGACACATTCTTGCGGTGTTCAAAGCGGAGCTCTATGGTCCGATGAAAGAGAGACCACCACCAGCGCCATACGCATAGAAGACATGGAGCCAGAGGTGTTCGATCGCTGTTGCTCACCTTCATACACATAGGAGTAAATTGTGAGATCCGGCTCATGGGCGAATGCGGTTGGGCGAGCTACTCTAGCTATATCGCTGAATTAGGATGGGCTGAATTCGGGGTTACCAGAAGCGACGACTTCATCGTGGGTGCGGAAAACAACTGTGCAACTGAAGTTTAGTACCATACGGTGGATTACGAGTTCACGGATCGGCTTAAATAGCCGGACCAATGACGCGTAGTACCTTGATTAACCGTTTTTTGCGAAGCGAGGACGAAAAGCGTAAGCATGTTGCTACGTAGGGTGGAGCCTACCCCTCGGGTAGAGTGGGCTTGGCAGTGTGTCTTGCGGCACAGGGTGTTACATAAATTGTGCTCTGGCGATTTTCTAGTGGATTTAGATTAGGCACCCAGCAATCGATTCCAGAGCTCGCATTTGATTGAGCGTTCCATAGTTCGAGAGAGAGGAAGAAGAGCGAGCTAGGGCATCTTGAAACAAAACCGGTGGAGGGTCTCCTCCGTCGGACGCCATCCCGCTCCAGAGCAGAGGGGAGAGAGGAAGCAGAGCGAGCTAGGGCATGCCGACAAAACCGGTGGAGGGTCTCCTCCGCCGGACGCCATCCCGCTCCAGAGCAGAGGGGAGAAGAAGAGGCGCCGCCCCACCGCCGACCATGAGTTGAGGTGAATTTGCAACATATTTGCGTGGAGTACTGGAGTGGAGGCAGGAAGAAGGAAAGCGTTGGTGGGCTGAATTCGCATGGACCTATTGGGCCGAGCCGAATTCACCGAATTGGGGTAGGCCTGCAAGACTCTTGAAGGCTGTGCCCTCGGCCAGGGGGCTGAATTCGCAACATAAAGGTGAGGGCGCGCTGCCCAGCGCATCCGCCCCTCCGCCGCCTCCCCCGACGTTGACACGACGCCGGCGCCACCGGATCGTCAATTCGCCCTCGCCAGCTCGAATTCACGTCGTGCCCCGCCTCTCCCAGCGCTGTGCGCTCCACCCTTCGCCGTGCGCCCCATCCTTCCGTGGTGGGGGCAGTGAGGCGGCAGGGAGTGAGGTCCAGGATGATGAGCAGCGGCGGCGGCGCAGGGCCCTGGCGGGGCATGGGTCCGGGAGTGGGTGGAGGCGGGGACGGACGGCACGACGACGAGGCTGCGCTCACCGAGTTCCTCTCATCCCTCATGGACTACACCCCACGGTATGGTGCCGCCACTTCCCTCTTGCCTTCTCTACTTTTCTGTCAGCGGTTTAGCCCTGATGCTTGGTTCGGTGGTGCGGAAGATTCCCGACGAGCTGGTGGAGCACTACCTCGGCCGCAGCGGGTTCCACTGCCCCGACCTTCGCCTGTGAGTGCTCGTCCTCTTTCCAATCTCTCTTCCTGATGGATAGTAGTAAGCTGAGATCTGATCAGTGCCATGGATTAAAACTTAAAAACACAAATTGCTTGATTTCTTGCACACATAATCTGATTTCGTGTTTTACAGAACGAGACTGGTTGCTGTAGCCACCCAGAAGTTCCTATCAGACATTGCTAGCGATTCTCTTCAGTGAGTAAATTCATAGTCTCGTTATTACAAAGTAAAAGGATTCCCTTCTTAATTTCATTGATAGCATATCAAGAATTAAACATTATCATTCTTTTCTTCCACATGAATGCAAATCTTCTGTGCAATACGCAATTCCATATTTTTGTTTGGTTCGGCAAGTTTATTAGGCTTCAATCAAAATCCTCCGTAATTGCATGTACTTGTGAAATTATTAAATCGAACACATGTTTTTTTAAGGTGTCGCTAAGGCGATAAGGCTTGCTGGAAATCTAGGCGTCCCTGTCGCCGCAGCACGGATATGGATACGTGGATACGGCATTCTCAGAAAAAACCCGATACGTGGATACGTTTTAGTATTTTTAATAAATAAATAAATAAGACTAAAGCATATTAAAAATTCTAAAAGCAGTAGCAGCCAAGGCTTGCAATTGTGTTGTTCTGCTCATGCTCATGTTTTGTGTATTTCCATCTAGCCAACATTCCAACAGAAGCTTGCCAAGCATCTCCATCCGCTCCTCAAAATCCAATTAAGAATGTACAGGTGTTTAGTGCAGAAGTAGAACTAGTCAACTTGAGGGAGGATTAAATTATTCAGGTATATCACAATGCTGCATCTATATAATATCAAGATCCGGAGAGAAATTAAACAAAAAGGGGATTAGAGAAAGGGAAAATGGGAAAGCTCACTAAGGTAACCTAACTGCTACCCATGACCAGCAAGAGATGTGGTGGTCTTAGCTCCCTTCACTGGCCTAGCCTCCACAGGACCAGCGGTGAAGCAGAGGACCTCCTTGCCGCTCGACCGTGGAGGAGCTCTTGCGTGCGGGCATGTTGTCGCGGCTGTGTAGGGTTAGAGCCTTAGTGGAGAAGAGGCAGCAGGCACGTCCGCACAAGGGAGTCTGGAGTTATCCAACTAGCTATTGATGGGCTTGGCTGTATTGGACCAACATATCACACAAGGTTAGCGTATCCATGAAGAGTATCTGAATTATTGTGGATTTATTTTTTTACGGATACTCCGTGGATACGTATCCAACGCGTATCCAAGCCGTATCCGATACGGATACGTATCGGATACGGGATACGTCCCTATATTGGAGTATCGGGGTAACGTAGCCTGTCGCCATGATCAAATAGAGAGGGAGGGAAGGAGAACCGAAGAAGAATGGGAGGGGAAGGGAGGGGACCATCAAGGCCAAGAACCCGAGCTGCTGCCATCCCTGCTGGCTCCGGCACCGGTGGCTGGCACAGAACTTGCTCCAGTCAGCCGTGGCACAGTCAATCTGGAAGGGGATGGAAGCAGTGGTCGATTTGAGAGCGCAGACCAGTGAGGAAAGGGAAAAGAAGTGGGAGGAAGGAGAAGTTTCAGGCAGTGGCAGTGGTGACGCATCTGGAGAGAGAGGGAGAGGGAGCTATGCTCCATTGATACGTGGGGGTTACCATGTATATGCGCAGGGAGCCATTGATACCGTGAAGGGAGGGAGAGACTAATGAAAGGAAGAGCATGAAGAGAACCAGGCAAGGCTGCACCTGCAACTGCCCTCACTCTCATCTCCGTTGGCTCTGGCGCCTGTGGTCATCGCAGCTCTTCACCGGTCAACTGTATAGCTCGATCTGAAGGAGGCAGCACCAGTACACAATCTGCATATGAGTAGAGCTCAATTTCAAAAGGGGTGGCATTGGCCCTCAATCTGGGAGGCGTGCTCTTGGAGCAGCCAGGCTCGTCGTTGCTCCAACGCGGTAGCATCGGGAAGGACTGATGGAAACGGCATCCAGTGAGGAATCGGTAGATTACAGATTGAGGGGAGAGGGTAGGGTTTTGCTTTATGAGCTGTTGGTTGAATTGGGCTCTAATGAGTTAGTGGGCTGGCTGCTAATAGTTATTGTGGCCCATCAGTGCTTGTATTTACCTCTTATTCTCTATTATATATATCTTATTACATATTTTATGTGCCATATTCTTTGGCAATGAACGAAGGGCGGGCCTGGTGCAAGCGGTAGAGTCTTACCGCCTGTGACCGGAAGGTCCCGGGTTCGAGTCGCGGTCTTCTCGCATTGCATAGGCGAGGGTAAGGCTTGCCACTGACACCCTTCCCCAGACCCCGCATAGAGCGGGAGCTCTCTGCACTGGGTACGCCCTTTATTCTTTGGCAATGAACCAATTGATGACTAAAAATTTTGGCTTGGCATGATTTTGGTTGGGAAAAAATTGGAAGCCAACCAAGCAGGCCCATTATTTACTTTTCAAAAAATATTAAAACATATCCCTGTACTGAGATTTGGAAAAATGACCTATCTGTGTATCCGTAAGTCTGTATCCATGGTACATAGACTGAGGGAAGGAGCACTGACACGAGGGACAGATGTAGGTCTCACCTTACTGCCTTAAGAACCACGTATCCACAGTCAATGTAATAATATCGGAATGATGACAAACGTTTTCCTATTGTTACAACATTTCATGTTTCTACTGTTCCATTCAGAATATGTTATGATCCTAGTTATCACTTACTTGCATTTATGCCGGTTGTAACTCAATCACCTTCCCACTTGCTGAAACATTGTTCGCTCTCTGCTGCTCTCGCAAAGTTTACCATGCCACCATAGTGATGGATTAGTCCGGTTGATATTTCTTGGTAGAAAAGAATATACCCCGTCTTCATTGTCAAAATATATAGTATGATCCCTCTGCATCCACTGACTCCATCCCAGGGTTCTTGTTCATTAAAGGAATTCATTTTTGTTAAAGGATTATGTTCTGATACATAATGGATGTGCCTATACTACTCAATTTGTGAGACCTATCCTCATTTTAAAGCTAGGTTGTCTCGTGCAGGGCGCAGGTTGGCAAGTTCTAAAGCTACAAATAGTGTATAATAGCATTTAGTTCAGTGTGACTCCTTAGAGTTTCGTGTTATATCATACAACGTGCAAATTTAAGAAATATTAATAATCCCCCCCTTATTTTTGCATAGTCAAGTTACTTTTATAAACAGGTTATATAGCAGCTGAGGCTTGGCTTTTTTAATGGAAATCCAAAGGGGGTAACAACGTAACATGCAATTGTCTTCTTCAAAGTTTTTTAAAATATACAAGATACATTTACAAAGTGTATGCCTAATTTTGTGGAGATTCTGTAACTATATTACCAATTGAGCTCATTCTTTATGTGGCCTGGCTAATCAAGTGATGAATAACTAAAGCATACTGAAATTAGAAAACAGGCCAATTAGAATTTTTTTGGTATCATCATCATGAGTTACCAACTAAAAGCATACCTAATTAACTAAAGGATGTCTGATCAATCATCATGATAGGCTCATGTATCACATCAATTTACTAATCCTGTGGGAAAACAGATTCATTGTGAGGGGAGGGTGGGCTCTTTTGGATTATATTGCGTAAGTTTGCTTATTTTGTGTGGATTATTTTTGTCAGTGTATGACACACTCTACTCTTCACCAATGTTTTCTGATCGGCTTATCATTCCTAATCGGTCTGGTACCGATTAGGACGATCAGGACGATTAATCGACGATCAGGACGATTAATCGACCTCTGATCGGTCTAATCGTCCATATAATCGTCCAGCATATAGCAGGACTATATAAGTATATATCATATATGTATGGTATATATATAATATACCATATACTATATATTTATATAGTAGACATCGAGCATTACTATATATTCATATATATATTTATATACCATAGTAGACATCGAGCATATACCATATACTATACAGTAGACATCGAGCATTACTATTTATATAGTAGACATCGAGCATATACCATATACTATATACCATATACTATATATATATATGTATGGTACATATATAATATACCATATACTATATAATATACCATATACTATATATTTATATACCATATACTATATATTCATATATGTCATCCTAAGTGCTGATCGGCAAAGAGACCTAATCGGACGATTAATCGCGATTAATCGACGATTAATCGGACGATAAGGTTTCTGATCGCTTTGATCGAATCGGAGGGCCTAATCAAGTGCTAAGTACCGATAAGGACGATTAATCATGATTAATCGGATGATCAGAAAACATTGCTCTTCACTATATAGCATAGCAAACTATTTTAAGATTTTCTTAGCAACATGCATTATACACACTGTAGTTGTGTGCACTAATTTTGCTATTACATTATTCTTTCCCTTGAACTAGGCACTGCAAGGCCAGGGTAGCAGCACCTATCAAAGACAATAAGAGCAAACAGCCTAAGGTGTATTTACTCACCAGTTGAACTTTTCATGTTCCTGGCGTTAAATCTTGTTTAGTATCCTTACTGCTTACTTATCACATTTTATAAAAAATGTTATTTTCAGGATAAACGTCTTGTATTAACCATGGATGATCTTTCTAAAGCTTTGCGTGAGGTAACCATGTTTCCATTTAAATCTGCAGTTTGCACTTTTACTTTTTTTGTTGGCAGCAGCTTACCATTTACTATCTTCTGTATTCCAACCAGTTGGGCAGATCTGTATTCTTGAGAGAGAAATCGGTCAGGATCGCATTATTTGGTTTGGACACTACAGCAATCTGTTTTGTCAGGACTTGAAATTGAATCTCCCCACTATTTTCTTTAACTTAAACAGTTATGTAGATCCAGTTTGTGCTCCTCACAATTTTCCAAAAATTCATGAGGAAAACCAACTGTTAGCGGCAGTTAAGAACAGCGCACACGAACAAAAACTTAACGATGCAGGATAGATATTTAAGCAAATATCACATGCCGCATAGTTGGAGATCTTATGATGATTGAGTTCCTTTAGACTAGATACGATCAATTCCAGCAACCCAGCGGCAGTGCGCCAGTGCCCATATGACCTGTATCTTTTGCAAGAGTAAGGTACACACCATCTTCTGTTATTGATATTGTGCATGGACCTAAATATGCAAGGCCATATAGAGATCAGACTAGTGTGGTTTTCTTTGCCTGTATTAAACTATAACTGTCAACCTTACTGTCATTGTCGTAGGAAAGAAAAGTGGGATCTGGATGTTGCTAAAATCTGAAGTCACAGTTCACCTCCCATTAAATTAAATGTGTAATAGTGGATATGGCAATCAGCAAATGAATGGAGCAGCTAATCAAATTTCAAATTGCCAATCCAACATTGCATATTCTGACCTTCTTAGTGACAATACCCTTTATAGGTTTAAAGGTTTATGCAAAATCATCGACAAGAAGACCACTATATGCATAGAAGTAAGCACTTCTGGAATCTAGAACCTAGGAATTTCACTAAAAACAGTACAATCCCTGCAGGAACATGGAATTTCCTTTCTCCTGCCTAAATCTTGCAGTCTGATTAGCACAACTCTTAAGGCTGTTGAAAACTGTGGTATATCTTCAGTCCACAGCAAATTATCTTTTCCGGTTGACCTTTAGTAATCAATCAATGTATATTTAGTACCATACCAGTTCTATTAAGCATGATGATGGTGTTTTTGTTCTTTCTTATATTCCAAAATAAGTCTGTTATATCCAAACCTTGCACAAAGGCATTGTTTTTGTGCTTTATTTCAAATACAAAGTTCATGATGTTGATAGAGAAATTCTTCAGCGTCCACCATCCAGACATCCTTCTAGAAAATAGATTTGGTGAAAATCCTGATTTTTTGAAGGTGTGCTTCTGTAGTACCTCTAATTTGAAGCTCCAGTAAATTCCAGATTCCTTAATACTCAAAAACATCTCATGGCATCATTGTTGGAAGAATGGAGTAACTGATAAATGTAACCTAATTCGTGAAATCTTTATCCTGTTTAGGCTTAGGAACTTCGGCTCCGTTAAGTCATATTCCATTTATTTCATAGTAACTACTGGTCATGGTCACTGGACTACTTTCCACCACATTAGCTTTTGCTCCATTTGTGATCTTATATACCCTGATACTCACATGAGACTTCTCTCTGCAGCATGGTGTGAACTTGAAACACCCGGAGTACTTCGCAGACAGCCCTTCAGCAGGAATGGCTCCTTCGACAAGAGAGGAGTAGATTGGATTAGGCCAACTTGTACGAAGTGTCCAAGTGGAACTAGATATTATACAGGGATCATGTGGAATGAATGGGCATGCTGGCATTCTTGCCCGATCAGTTCGTTGTAACGGTTGACTACCATAATCTCCAAAGTGTATCCCCATTGCTATTCGGGATGTATTATTTATTAGAGTACTGCTAATATGATGTATTTCTTTACAATTTTAATATAAAATTTGTCTCATCCAAGTTCATATGGATTAGTTATTTTAATGCAACTATTTTTAGAGATGGAACTTTGAATTGCCGCCTCTGTCAATAGTGGTTTTCAGAGACGGGGTATCTTAAATATGCTCGCCTCTGAAAATTGATTTACAGATATAGACGTCCTTAGATGGCTGCCTTTGTGAATTGATGATTAACAGAGGCGGTTGTCTTTGAGCAACGCTAGCAGTGGCACTCAAATCAGGGCCCCTACTTTTGATTTAGGTGTTGCTCCCAACTCTTGTTAGCTCAGTTTTTTGTGTCTACTCCAACAGCACCTCTCAAATTGAGGCCTCCAAATCTATTACACTCAGAGAATGACAGATGAGACCTGCTCGTCATTTAACTTGTTCGCTGGTTGGTTTCTGGGCTGATAAGTCCAGTTGATGATGGTTTGTTGTGAGAAAAAAACACATGGTTTGTTGTGAGAGAAAAACAATGTATCATGGCTGATAAGCTCTGGCTGAAACCAACGAGCGAATCGTCTCCTCTTCATCTTTCTTCTTCCTCTGTATAGCGAGCTCGCAAGTCCTTTGTACAGGTCTGCGTCGACTGGAGCTTCCTCTGTACAGGTCTGCGGCGAGGGGCGGCGCGCCCGCATGATGGAGCAGGGGCTCGTGCGGCGGGGGACAGCGTGATCGCACCACGAGGGACGGCGCGCCTGCGCAGCGGAGCAGGGGCGCAGGGGGCAGCGCGGGGCTGCGCGACCGCACGGCGGAGCAGAGTCTCGCGCGTCGGCATGCAGCGTGCCCGCGCAACAGCAGCAGGGGCTCCCGCGGCTGGAGGAGAAGGGCCCCGCGGGCGGCCACGCTCGCTGGAGCCCGGAGGGGAGGGTGGCGCGTTCGCCGGAGACGGAGGGGAGGGGGTGCGCTCGTCGGAGACGAAGGGGAGAGGAGGCGGTGGAGGCCAACGACCGGACGGGGGCCAAGTGGTGAGCCCCCGTTCTGGCACAGGAATGGGTTTAGGGTTTAGGGTTAGAGGGTGTGCTCATCCAAATTCGGAGACTATAATATGAGCCCTGCTGAAGCTTTGTTTTTTTTTTTTTATCTTGGCACTCATTTTTAACTATGAGGACTTAAGTAGGACCCCTCGTGGTGTTGTCCTTAAGATTTTTAGAGGTGGGTATTTATCTGGAGTGCACTTGACTATTTTCGAAAGTCATCCTTAGATATGCTCGCATCTGTTAATAAAGAGGTTGTATTTGTGATAGTGATGGGTAGTGTTTGTTTTATGTACCAGATTTCAGGAGACAGGCTTGTAAGTTACAAATTTAACCCATTTGACAAACTGAATGGGCCCTGCGCTGGCCCAAGCTATTTTCTTACATTTGAGTGGCCAATCCATCGAATTTGTTTTTTCTTTTCTCTTCGCCTAAACTTGTTCTTGGCTATATCTTGCTAGCTAGTATCACTATGTGAAACCTTTTATATAGCTTTGTTCTATACCTACGATGACATACTTGGTAATTCTAGACAAGTTTATGTTTTGCTTATTGTGGTGATGATTTACTGTGGCGCAAATTGGAAATTCCAAGAATTGCAGCAGACAAGGAGAAAAAAGTCAACTAATTAAATGCCAAAGAACATATCTTGATTTTTTAAATTCTGAATTAATTTAACTTTGAAGAAGAGTTTTGCTCTAGTTTTGTGTATCAAATTTAAAACTGAAATGTGAGAGCATGATAGCCTATTTGGTATTGTACTTAACAAAAACTTTTATGGAAATTTGAATTAGTTTGTGAGATATGCTCTACACCAAGGAAAATTGGAAATGATGTGGAATCAAGCAACTATCGGGGGTATAACCCCAGATACCTGCAGGATGAGACATGAGCCGTACCATCAGGGGTGATCCAGCCTACAAGATCAAGGCGCGCGGCGCACTACACTGGTCGACGTGCACCGTAAGACTTTTAGAAGATATCTTGAAGATAGAGATAGATCTATTCGGATATACGAGATGTTGTATTCCATGTAATGCTTATCATTTACCCGAGTAGATTTAGACCTAACCGATTTGTAACCCTATCCCTCGTCTATATAAGGCGGGTAGCACTACCAAAATGGTGGACTTCTCCTAGTGTTTTTAAATAGTAATAAAATATTACCACTAGTCATAGCATATGAGAATCTCACTAGGAGACATTTAGCAGGGAAAATTTATACTAAATTTTGAATGCTAAAACACTAGGAGAAGCCCACCACACTAGGAGAAATCTAAAATTCTGGTTGTGTACTGGGACCCCCTCAAACTCATCTCATCTCATTCACAATCAATACAATCCACCAGAACACATGACATAGGGTTTACGTCGTAATGACGGGCTGGACCTGTCTAAACCTCGTGTCTCTGCGCCTATGTCACCATTCGGTTCCTGATCACGCACATCTTCACCACACAATCTACCATCGTGGGTGTACCCCTCGGTGGATTATCAACCATATTTCATCGACAGCAACTCTAGCGAAGGCCATTTTAATAAAATTCGAAAATCAAGCATACTTTATGTACGTTCAACCGTGAGACATATATTCCTTGATTTCAAAACACAAAGTGTTTTAGTTTTTATCTTAAATCAATTTTTTCTAAAGTTGACCAAGTTTATGTGTTTCCGCAAGGATGTATGACTGCGATTGCTTGTGCTATTTGCGCTGCAGCAGCTGCTGCGTGCTACTACTCACCAGCTTAAATATGTGCAAACTCAAGTAGCACAGCCGATCAGGTTAGCGCATGCAACTGTAAAATTATTACATGCATGAATCTCTTCTTTAGTTTTGTTACAAATTATTACAAATAATGGTACATGCATCCTTATGTGATAGACTACATATACATTGTTGGAGGCAAGTTAATTAGGGTACTCATGTTTTGATAATAGAAGGAATTCGAGTTTTTTCACAAGAATATTGTGGAAACTCAATATATTGAATTTAATTAGTTTCTTTCCTTCAAAAGAAAATTCATGGAAATAAAAAAGCACTTTCTTTTACGTACTCCCTCTGTTCCAAATTAAAATTCGATTTGACTTTTTTGGTACATCTATTTTGCTATGCATTTATTATAAGTCGCTTTGACTTTTTCGATTAATCAATTTTGCTATGCATCTACATAGTGAAATTGATGTACCAGAAAAAGTCAAAGCGACTTATAATTTGGAATGGATGGAGTACATGCGTAGGTAGTTTATGTTTTTAGACAATATATACAATAATACAAACATTTGTATTAAAGATAATGAAATTTTTAAATGCAACAAACAATAGTCGTCCACTAACCATAGCCATTAGTGTGCATCCAAAAGAGACCGCTAACATGCAGCCATTGTTGAGAGCAACATTATAACCATAAAATGGGCTAGCGTCTTTTTAATTAAGACCAGCTAAGCAAATTGTTGCATGTCGTTGAATACAGCCAATTTCCAGCTCACATATTTCATCAGGCGAATATATATACTACTGTGTGTGCCGATTTAATTTATTATTTATATTACTACTCACGCATGCGCTTTGGAAGCACTCCAAGAGCGGAAAGATTGCCTAAATTAAGAGAGAAAAAGATGTAGGGTGTTGTTATAGTGTACGTGGTGGTCGACGAAAGCTAGAGAAATTGAAACAGCTTTGCTTTTGGCACATGGACGAAGGCAAGAAGAATTAGAATACATATGATCATATATACTGTTGGAGAAAAAAACACGGTTTTTCAAAAACAAAAAACCTGATGCACCATCTAAACAGCTCTTCCTAGAAAGATGCTCCCTCCGCCTCAAAATAAATCAATTTCTAAAGTTATCTTAAGTCACATATTTTATATTTGGTTAAATTTATAGAAAAGAACAATAATATTTATAGCATCAAATTAGCATCACTAGGTATACCATGAAATATTTTCATAATCTATTTATTTGGTGTCATAACTATAGTTATATTCTTCACTATAAAGTTAATTAAACTCAAAATAGTTTGACTACTTAGGATAATTTTAGGAGTTGATTTATTTTGAGATGAGGGAGTAAGTATTTGATAGATACCACATAATTTTTCTAAATGCTATAGTTTCTCTTAAAAAACTCGAGAAAATAATAATCCAAATGTCCGAACGTCTCGTCTACTTCAATTCTTCATGCACCATCTTAGCTCGCTAAGTTGCCAATAAGTTACGTGAAGATATATAATTTATTGATAAAGAAAAACAAAATTTCAAAACCACACGTGCGAAATGAAATAAATAAGCAAATACGAACAAAATAAAGAAGTTTGTGTGTATATATACACACGTATGCGACAAATAAAATTTACATGGACATTGGAAAAATTAAATTAATCAATATAGAGAAAATAATTTTAATTTATGGTATAACTAAAAACATAGTCATCTCTATGGAAACCATGGGGCAACCTCAAGCACTCTCACTTTTTAACATATGAGATATTTATTTATCACCAAAACCACACACACAAAGCTATATACTCTCTAATATATACTCCCTCCGTCCCAAAATAAGTAATGTTTTTTATTTTCAGACATCATGTTTGACCGTTCGTTTTATTTAAAATTTTATGTAAATTATAAAATAAATAACTCATTATTAAAGTTTCTCTAATGATAAAATATGTCATAACAAAATAGATAATATTTATAAAAAAAAATTGAATAAGACGAACAATCAAATAAAATGTCTAAATGTAAAAAATGTCACTTATTTTTAGAGGACGGAAAATATAGTACAAACAACCACTACTTATATAATCACAAATAATAATTCCCAAAAAAGAAAAAAAAAAACTTCTATTGAAAGGAAACAAAGTGACATATAAGGTATCAATTAAATAGCTAGAAAATTTTTGTATAGAATGAACGGAAACAAAACTGCTGGGAGCGCAAAGAATGATACACATGACGACGTGAATACAAACAACTCGCTATATAAACAGTCAATGGTCCTTTATCTGCATAGTACAAAAACCGAGGCCGATCTATACATGACATGCATACTTATATACGCGCAATTACGTACGCATCACCTGTAGGTGTAGGACGACATACAGATCACCGAGGCTCAGCGTCTAGCCCAGCTATAGCTGCTAGAGATTATTGCTAGTGGCGTCGTCCTCACCGTCGTGATGGCCGCCACCGCCGATAATCCCGCCATGGTTGGTCACGGCGATGAGCTCCGAGAGCGCCCTGAGGAGCTCGACCCTCGCCCGGAGGCGCAAGATGTAGGCGGCGGTACGGAGGAGCAGGCGCTCGGCAGGCATCGCCGCGGCGCCGGGCACCAGCCGCCGCAGCTCGCGAACCTTGCGCCCCAGCGCCATCTTCACCGCACACCGCCGCCGCTGGCTTCCGTGGCACGACGAGCGACGACGCCGCCTCCTCCCCTCCATGTATCTGGCAAGGCGAAGATCGATCGGACGTACGCGACGACGTGTGTGGTGTACGTGGGTGAGCTGAGCTGGTGGAATAAATAGAGCCGGGAGGGCCTTTCGGGGAGACAAGTATTTTAGTAGGGGACTGGACGCAAACGCGCGGGGTGAGCTGTGGGTTGTCGCGTAGCGTGGGGCCCGCGCGTGGACGCTACTGGCTTTGTCCTGCACACGTGTCTCACAGCTCCCTGATCGCCCCAGGACCAGGGAAGTGCCCGATCTTTTTATTCCCGTCTTACGTTGCCATACGTCGCCGATCTTTTCTGCGTTGGATGGTCGCTGGATTCGAAGGTGAATCATGAACCCCCCAAATATCAGTTATAGCAAGATCGTGTTTATTATTTCAGCCATCATCATGAGCCATGATATGAAACCATGGAGGTCCGTTCACGTTGCTTATGTCAGCGTCACACCATTGATCCGATTATGGAAGGGAACATATTGATAATTACCACGTATGACGGTGTAAGGGTGTATTTGGATGGAAGTCAGATGGAGCCCAATCAATATTAGGCTGTTGTTAACCATGGGTGGAGGCATCATGGATTTCTACCACAATTTGCATTGGTAGAATAGTGTATAGGCAATCGATGTGTAATTTATTTTCTAGCTGATGCATGGCCAATTCTGGGCAGCCAATTCATGCATTAGACTTTGGCCAACAAACTAGCTTGGTAAGACAATACATGGGTAGCAACCAAACGTGCCTTAAATTCCGTGAAACCATACCAAATGCCAATCGCATTACTACTTTATAATACGGAAATGCTGGGGTCAGGGCCCTCTGCGCCATCGCTACCACGCCCACCTGTCCTCTGCGCCACCGCCGCTCGTGCCACCCCACACCGCCCTCTGTGCGTCGCCGCCAAGCTCCGTGTTCCCGGCGAGCTTCGCACTGCAAGCGAGCACACTGATGACCTCCACACGCCACCCACCAGCCCCCTGCGCCACCGTCGCTTGTGCCGCCCCCACCCCGCCCTCTCTGTGTGCCGCCGCCCAGCTCTACATTGGCGTCGAGCTCCGCGCCGCTGGCGAGCACACTGGTGACCTCCATGCGCCGATGAGCATCCATTCGCCGAAGTAGTAAGGAGATGTTTGCGTTGAAAGAGCATGCTGCAAACGTATGTTTCAGGTGTTTCATAGGTATGTTACAAGTGTTTTATATCTTTGTTGCAAAAGTAGACCAGATGATGCAAAAGTAGATCGTGATGTCGTACATGTTGTAATGGCTATACACGTATATTTCAAGTTTATGTTCTAAATATTGCATCTGTATCATACGTATGTTGCAATTGTTTTATCTGGATATTGCAAAAGTAGATCAAGATGTTGCATATACATGCATGTTGCAAGCATATGTTTTAAGTGTTTCATCTCGATGTTGCATATGTTTACAATGGCTTTTAAAGTGTTTCAGACGTTTGTTGCAAATATTTCAGACGTATGTTGCAAGTGTTTTAGCTGTTTCAAACATATGTTGCAAGTGTTTCATCTAGGTGGACCCACTTGCTACAGCTGTTGGGTGGCATTCGGGGCATAAGCTTTCTTTGTTGGGGGCATCGCCGAGCCGGGTATGAGATGGGCACGTGAGAAACCGAAAAGCTTGAGCATGAGGGCCTGCTGTAGAAGCATAAAGAAAACCATCTTGGCCTTGGCTCCATTTCTGCCATGCATGACGACATTATCCGACGCTAGCGCTCCTGATCGGACGTCCGGGTGCTAGCAAGTCTGTTTATGATATGTTCTTGAAATGGAGAGAGGGCAGGGAGAATGCACAGAGGAGATACACTACTCAAAATAGTAGAGAAAACATTAAGGCGAGAAATGTAAAATCAATTGAATGAGGACCTGCCAACATGCCGATTGAGAATGATGGTTTAGGGTGTTGAATCTACAGAAATTTACAAGGGTCTTACACACGTGCGATGGCTTGTGGCATGAATGGTAGACGTGGGTGGTAGGCGACGTGCTCGCGATAGCGAGGCGCCTATGGTGATTTCATCAATCTCAAGAATTGGCCGTCTAGATTGGTCTCTTGGAGGTGCTCATAGGGATAGGGTGTGCGTGTGTGTTGTGAATGTCAGTGTGTACTGAGTTTTTGCAAAAAAAAGTTATATGGATAAACATGGAAACACCTTGTAAGAGATGTAGACAATAAGGACCAAATTATTATATGGAAGTAAACAAATCACGATGAATACTTGGCCTCCTCAGCATATGAAGCACAATTTCATGATTCGTCATCACAAACTACAGTGCAATCCTTTGTAAAATGTGTGCAATGACAAAAATGTAACTTTTTCATCGGGTTGTTAGTAGAAAATAGTTTGGACGTTAGACAGACTAGTAGCTAGAGGATGGCGTAACAACATATTCTGCGCACCGTGTAGCCGTGCACATGAATTGTCTTGCCACCTATTCGTGGAATTTAGATATCACTACTAGAAAACAAACCTTTCATTTCGTCTCTATTTTTGTTTTTAGTCCCGGTATTTTTGTGTTCGGGACTAAAGGGACTATTGGTCCCGGTTGTATCCTCAAACAAGGATACAAAGTTCCTACCCTAAGTGTGTGGCGACGACAGGCAACCATTAGTCCTGGTTATAGCCCAGAGCCGGGACTAAAGGTTGACCTTTAGTCCTGGCTCTAGGCTATAACCGGGATAAAATCTTTCTTGATAAAATAATATAGTCGCGCTGGACAAAAAAATGGGGCAGCCAGGCATTGAACCCACGACCTCATAGCCTAGGTCCAAACCGCAGCGCACTAGCTAGCCATCTGAACTAAGTCACTTTCTTGACAAGAAAGCACCCAAACATTTATTTAATAAGGGAAAAGACCCTTTAATTGATTATATTCTTTTGTTAACTATACTTTGAATTTTTTGGTCTATGTGCTTTCTAGTGCCTGATTGATCTCATAATTTTTATTAGGGTTTCAAATGCCCAATGTGAAGCCACCACCATGTTCGAGATTTTTCTGAATTGGTTTGGTAACTTTTTCACTTTAATTGAATTTCCACGCGACTTCACCGATTAATTATACGTTGAACTGAGTCCACCCCCGAAAAGATCCGAAATGGTGCCAAACTTTGCCAAATGGTCTCTTGTGCCCTAGGATACAAATATTTGTGGAGGTTGATGCAAAATTATATTGTTTTGAATATGTAATTCGTCGTATTTCGTCTCACACGACACAAAGAAAAATGTAATAATAAAAATAATTATCAGAAAAACCTAAGATCTTGTGTGGGGCCATAGTTTGGGTGTAAATGACTGCCAAAAATTTTTTAAGCCATTTCGACATAGGCGGAATCGACGTGCTTCAGAGAGGTATATAGAACCTTTCGTCGAACCCTATCTATACACCTAGGTTCTCTAGGATTCTAAGGTCCATGTGCTTTCTAGTGCCGGATTGGGCTGAAACTTTTTCTCAAGACTTCAAATGCCTTATGTGTAGCCACCACCAAGTTTGAGATTTTTCTGAGGTGGTTTGATACCTTTTTTCACTTTAATTGAATTTTCGCGCAAATTCACCGATTAATTATACATTGAACTGGGTCCACCCCCTAAATGATCCGGAATGATGCCAAACTTTGCCAAATGGTTTATTGTGCCCTAGGAGACAAATATTTGTGGAGGTTGATGCAAAATTATATTGTTTTCAATATGTAATTCACCGTATTTCGTCTCACGCGGCACAAAGAAAAATGTAATAACAAAAATAATTACCAAAAAAACCTAAGATCTTATGTGGGGCCATATTTTGGGTGTAAATGACTACCAAAAAAATTTCAAGCCATTTCGACATAGGCGGAGTCGACGTGCTTCACAGAGGTATATAGAACCTTTCGTCGAACCCTATCTATACACCTAGGTTCTCTGGGACTCTGAATTCCATTTGCTTTTCAGTGCCAGATTGGTCTCAAACTTTTTCTCAAGACTACAAATGCCCTGTGTGTAGCCACCACTAAGTTTGAGATTTTTCTGAGGTGGTTTGCTACTTTTTTAACTTTAATTGAATTTTCGCCCGAACTCATCGATTAATTATACAATGATTAATGAAGAACCTAAAGATTTATCTTACAATTACGTGAAAACTAATTTCCTGTCGAAAACCAATAAATTTAATAATTTCAATTAAAGTCTACATTTTTGCATTAACGAAAATAGTGAGTATTTGTTGCATTATGTTCAACATTTATAATAAAAAACACAATAGTTTAGGTCACATATTTTTTTGTGTGCAGTAAATGAAAATAAAGTTTATTACTTTTTTCTAAAAAAATTTATGCCTAGTATTGAATTTACTGCGCAAATAATAAGACTTAAACATTTAAATACAAAACATATATAAAATAAACTGATCTGCTTAAAAGTTGACGGGAAATAAAAATGTAGCCCACCTTTAGTCCCGGCTCCTGCCACCAGCTGGGACTAAAGGTGGGCTACATTTGGCGGCCCGTCAAAAAATCCTTTAGTCTCGGCTCCTTCCAACAACCGGGACTAAAGGTCCCCCTTTAATCCCGGCCGGTGGCAGGAGCCGGGACTAAAGGTGCTTTATTCTCGGGCGGTGGATGGAGCCGGGACTAAAGGTCCCTCTCCTATATACCGCCGCCCCTCTCTCTCTTCCTCCTCATCGATCGTCTTCGTCTTGGCGCATCCCAGAGCTCTGCCGCCGATTCGCCTCCCAGCCACCCCGGCGCCGCCTTCCTCACGGAGGGCACCCCAAGGCTCGCCCACTCGCCGGAGTAGCCCGATGCCGCGCCCCTCACCGAGGAGCCCCGGCTGCCCTGGCCCAGCCTTGCCTGCGCCACGCCGATTTCACCTTCCAGCCACCCCACGCCCGCCTTCCTCACGGGAGGGCACCCCTGACGCCCGCCCACCTCGCCGGAGTAGCCTCGGCCCGCCCCTCAAGGAGGAGCCCTGGCTGCCCCCGGCGTGCGTGCCTGCGCCCGCCGA